TATATATATATATTATAATGATAATAAACCCGAAGTTGTTCTTTAAAAAAAGTGATTGCTATTCTGGAGCAAAATCCACGCGTATTCATTATGTACCTGAACAATGCAAATTTTAGGCACATTCTATTCCATACATGCCATAAATGAAACAAACAAAACAAAAAATACTGCATGCTCTCACAAAACCAACCAAACAAATGCCAGTTACAATTAATCCCTAAAGGGTTGATAGCAAATGCAAAATGTATAGATGCTGTTAGACTTTTCCATACATGTGTCTGGAAGAATGTTGTCAGCTATAAAAGACATTTGAATATGAAAGGACCTCCTGCTATCACGAATTTGGAAAAGACGTTACAAATGGTAGAGATTGTGCATTCACACAAACCTCTGCAGCAAAATGATCTGCATTCTGATAGTGTAGAGTGGACTCTGGTTTGGAGGAAGCTGTCATATTCCCAGCATGATACAGAGCAGAAACAAATAGTATAAAGTGAGGTGTAAGTACAGACAACTGGTGAGAGGAGGACACTCAAGGTCAATGTAAATGACCAGCCTACCATACTAACTTTGTTGGCTGGAAATCCATGCAAATCCTGAAAAATGTAGATGAGCACATGCTGCAATGCCATGTAATAGAGCACCGTGTAAGAGGACCGGGCTGGCTGATACATTGTGACTCATACAGAACATGAAGCATGGAGACTGACTAAGATGAATTACTTGACACATACATCGCACTGCTCACAAATGTCAAATCCCCTGGCTTCAGTCATTGAAATGATATGTGCAGAGTGATCCATTGATTCTCAGCTGCAGGAGAAGTTACAGGCTATAGACTCCACACACATTCCTTTATGTAGATTATGGGGGGGATGAGCACCCCGCCTTTGTAGCTCTGTCACCCTTTCATGGGGGCGTCAGTGTAACTTTACACTCATCAGTCTTCCCCTTTGTCATGCACACAGACTGTGCATCAGCAATGTGAGGTAGGTCCTGCAATCTTTAAGAATGCGAATTCTTAATCATTGCACTGCATATTTCTCTCCTGAAATGTATGCCTATGAATCATACACGACCCTGATTTCATACAGACCCCATACCGAGTCCATTCAGATGATCTTACATTACAGGCTTTCATTCTATGAGCCTAGTCACTGGAGCTATGAAGAAAAAAGACCTATTGAATGAGTGATTGCTAAGCTAAAACAATAGCCTGAGACTTTCTAGATTGTGACAGAGGCATTGCTAATACTGATTTCCCTTTCATGTTCCCTTGGATACAGGAGTGAGAGGAGCTGGCTCTGCGGGCTGTTTCGGTGTCTTGGGTTGCAGAGTTCCAGAAGGAGGTGCAGCATCCTGGGCAGTTCTGTACTTCACGACAGCATATAGCGTCGCCCTGTAATAGGATTCAGCAGCCTGGACAGCGGAGTTCTGTACTTCACTACAGCATATAGTGGAGCGCCGTGATGCGATTCAGCAGCCTGGACGGTAGAGTCCTGCACTTCACGACAGCATATAGCAGAGCCCCCTAATGAGATTCAGCAGCCTGGACAGTTCTGTACTTCACGACAGCATATAGCGGAGCCCTGTAATGAGATTCAGCATCCTGGACAGCAGATTTCTGTACTTTACTACAGCATATAACGGAGCCTGTGATGAGATTCAGCAGCCTGGACAGTAGAGTCCTGCACTTCACGACAGCATACAGCGGAGCCCCCTAATGAGATTCAGCATCCTGGACAGCAGAGCCCCATAGAGTATTACAGCACTCCGTACAGAACCATATAAGACAGCACAGCACCTAGACTGTAGAGTATTACAGCACTCTGTACAGAACCACATAAGACAGTACACTACCTTGGACTGCAGAGTATTACATCACTGCACACAGAACCACATAAGACAATTCAGCACCTGGACTGCAGAGTAATACAGCACACTGTACAGTACCACATAAGACAATTCAGCAACTGGACTGCAGAGTATTACAGCACTCCGTACAGAAACACATTAGACAGACCTTGCAGGACTCCGTACACGTACAACAGAGCTACATAGGACACTGAGCACCTTGGACAGCAGAGCTCCTTTGAGCGTTAGGACACTATTGGACATTTCTGCACCTTGGAGTGTTGCTGGACTCCGAACAACAGAGCCACATAGAACATTTCAGCACCTTGGAGTGTTGCTGGACTCCGTACAACAGAGCCACATAGAACATTTCAGCACCTTGGACAGCAGAGTTCCCTATAGAGAAAGTCATACAAGACGCTTCAGCACCTTGCATAACGACCCCCTTCCCCAGCCTCTCTTCCATTATGAGGATCTGACAGATTAGTCTGATCATCATAACTGTTACATATAGCGAGCCCAAGACTGGATGAGTGGTTTCCAAGAGATACGTCTTGAGTCTTTTGGTGGCTTTTAGTATTTGTTGGGACATTGCAAAGTCTTAACAAGCATGGATTTCATAAGGAGTGCACCCATCCCAGGACTGCAAGTACTTGTTCTTCTTGTATGTAAGTAAAATAATTATTTTTCTTTGTGTGAAGGTACATAGGTGTAAGATTTATGATCTACACAGGGCAACAGGACAATGTGCCAGTATAGAGGGACATTCAGCTATGGGTTTAGTGCAGCTTGTGTGATTAGTGGCACAATTAGACAATGTGAAGGGTCAATGATCGACTTTCTTTATTTGACAGACGCTATTGGTCCAAATTTGGCAGAGCAAGAAGTGGAGAATCTTTCAGGTCTGTCCACTAATCCTGAAAAAAACATTTTCGCCATAAGAGACAATGGGACCACCTGCCTTATGGCTGAATTCTCAGCAAGGATAGTTGTTCCCTATGAAGTTCCTTCCAGTAATGAAGTAGATGTAAGTACTATAAAAAAATGTTTATACACAAAATCGTTTTAATGTTTAAAAGCCTTTTTTTTAATGTCAGCCCGAATACATTAGAATCGTAAAAGACATTTCATTGTTTTTTTTAAATTAATTTGTTAAAATTTTGATTTCTTTTTAATGCAACCAACACTACTCAGTAGGACAATGTGCAGAATGCAACAAACCAGCCAATTATAAAACCCCTTTCATCAGTTCTTTGCAGCCAGAACACTGAAATGTGATGGCTGATTGGTTGCTAAGGGTTGCTGCATCACTCTTTGTTTTATTCAGTTTTCTAGATAATTGCCAATGCAGAACCAGTGTAAGTAACATGACTTCAATTCATGAATAGTCTTATTTTAGGCTATGCAGTAACTGTAAGTAAATTATGTTCTTCAGCAGCCTTGTTGCTTATCTGTTTCAGTGGGACACGGAAGACGCTACCATCCAGCTGCCCAGAGATACTGAAATTAAAGGAAAATGCTGGAACAATGAGTCTGAACTGCATTTGTCATGGTTAGACAAATCTTACACGCTGAAGTTGTTCTTTGTCAAGGTAACTAACACTACAGCTGCTTAGGGTTCTATTATCAAATGATGAGAACTCCTAATGACACAGACATACTGCAATGCATGATTCATTATGACAACTGCCTAAGACATCAAAGTGAAATCTTTCATTACTGTGCGGATCTGTGATTACATATAGAGCTGTTTCATTCCTAGTTTTACACAATGATCCATAACAAATGAATCACATATATCACCTTGCAAGGATGCAGGGTAGTATTAACAGTTCAACCAATGGTTGCATTTAAGTCAATGGTGCAGCCAATGCTTGCATTTCAATCAATAGTTCAGTCAATGCGTATGTTTAAATCAATGGAGCAGGCAATGCTTGCTTTGAAATATCCTTTTTATTTTTAGGATGCTCAGGACTTCACAAAGTCCACCGGAAGGAGCTGGAAAATGAGCAAAGTTCAGTTTTTGTATGATCCTTCAGAGCGCACACATTTTAAAGCTGGAGCGAGACGTGAGTATGTGCAAGACTGCAGCATGTACGTGCGGTCCGCATAGACTGTAATACTACACAGTGACCGACTCATGGCTGCCCGCCAGGGGTATGCTGCATTGTTCCTCTTTATTGTTTGCTATGGAGTGTGCATGCAGCCTGAAATGCTTACTTCAAGGCCTCTACTAAGAAAAGAGGTCTGTGTAATTGGTAAAACACCACAATTACATTATTAGCACCAACAGACATAAGTGGACCCGTATGGGATAGGAGCTGTATAGCCGCAGTCAGTAGCTGAGTCATTTTGTGCGGTTGGCTGCTGACGTGACACCAACAGATGTTCACCCAATACTGCTGTGTACAATGCAGTCCTTGTCTCCCTGCCTCTGGCTTTCCCATCTGGGGCCTTCATTTCTCTGGACCTGTGCCGCTGCTAAATAAAGAATTTTTGTTATATGAATTTACACCATACACAATTTTCATGATTGTAGAAATAATATCTTAAAAACATGAATGTAAAAATGAGAATGTCATAATAAAAGGCAACAGCAAATACCCTTTTTTAACATTTCACATGCATGTTATAGCTATCTATAATGTTTCCCCATATATAAATATAAGCAACATTTTGTTTGCTTCAGAAACGATGTTCTGCTTAGCATGTTGATCTTTCATGGAACTTATGTGCGATACCGTTGTGTCAATGTTTCAGCTGGGAAGCAAACCGCTACTAGTCATCACTTGTCTCTTATGACCACACCAGTTGGAATGTCCTATGAATGTGAGGCGACTGAGAAGGTCAGCCTGGTCTCCAGTGACCAGAAGAAGATAGTGGTCTTGTTCCTGTCTGAGGTCCATATACAGCCATTTGACATTAAGAGTGACTTTGTCTTCAGCGAAGGTATAGTAATTCCTCTACAGATATAACAGGAGACATGGAGGTAGCATCAAAATATGTACTTCACCGGAACCAATAGGAGACATGTAAGAATTACACAACATAAAAAGGTAGAAATCCACTATAAGGTGAACCTATAATTAAAATGCACACTTCCTATGAACTAATAGGCCACATCCAAAAACTAGAACTATGAACATTAAACAGAGTGTTAAAAAACCCAAACTTTTTGCCATTAATGAAACATTACTGATCTTCAGCAACCTGCTCAAGCAGTCTAGACCATACGGTCTCCTGCTACCAAGGAGATATGAGGGTCAAAAAGGCTGCCCTGACATGAGATGATTCATATGATAATGGCCACATTAAGAAATATCATGTCTGTGTACATGGAGTGACCTTTGCTTACTGGCTGACCAGTAATAGTGATAAAAATTGTATAGATAACAACAAACATTTCTCAGAAACAAAAAATAAAACATAGATATATATACAATAGCATAAAAATGCATATTTTGAGTAAAACAATCATGCATATTTACTCCTTGACCCTTGTACCAAACAATTGTGCAGCCATCTTTGTTTTGCCAACTCCTGTATATTAAGGGCAGTCTTGTCCTCTTCATTGGATATTTCATTTATTTCACAATAAAAACATGAAAACGGTGGACCGAGACTTGTTATCCTGCAGCAGAAAGAAGCAGAAAGACTTGCAATTACATTTTTGCATGCCAAAATTATTTCATTTACCTAGAGGGCATGTTTTTCCCATTAAAACTAGAATTACAATGTAAGAGGACTCCAGGGCTCTGTCATTGATACTAAGGTAGCAAGTTATACCAGCATGAGTTTGGTCAGTTGAATGGAGAGCAACTGTACGACTTCAACGGTCCTTTCACTTCCATGAGTGCTGCTTAGTAAGTTATTTGCCACTAAATAAAGTATTTTTGTAATTATTATATTTGTAAAACCTTCACAATTATAAAGATTAAATGTTCAGATTCTTACATAAGTTCAGTTATGACATCTTTTAAAGATGCATACACAGTAGATGAGTCAGCGCCCACCTATTGCAGATATATCAAGTTTGAATGGGTTGATCCCTAAGGACCCATTCACACTTTTAAGTTTTAGTGTATAGTTTGCCTTATGCATTTTTCTATTATAATCAATGGAAATGTATGTTAACATAAATGTGCATTATAATTCACATCAGCATGCATTAATGCATACATTCTGCATCATGATGTGCATTGACATTTATTTTAATGCATGTTAAAATGTGTTTACATGTTTTTTTATGAGCATCTAATAATGTCAATAAAAACACATTGGCAAAAGTGCAGGTTTGCAGGTATTACCCAGCCTTAATGTTTATACTGTATACTGTGTGTAATAATATGGTGTAAATTACAAAGTCCTTTGCCACGACATATGATCTTGTTGTTCGCAAGTATATGGAACACAATGGTGTTTCTGTAGTTGGCATACATCTTCTGCCGTACTAGAGATGTGTTTAATCTCGGCACAGTGTTTACTCTAGGTTAAGTCTCATTTTCACTGCAGACAAATACCTGAATAAAGGGTCTAGGATATGTAATTATGTGATTATAGGACAGGACATATACTGTATAGTGATGATTGGTCTCTAGGCTGTAGCAAGCGCTCTATTCTACAGCTAAATAAAGATATACATTATTACTAGGGATGCACCAATACTGTTTTTTCGTTACCGAGTACGAATACCGATATTTTTTTTTCAGTACACACCAATACCGAATACCGATACCGGCATCAGTGAGCCCAAATTTTCTGGAAGCCGGGTGGCAGGTCATGACCCACCACCTGGCTTCCTGATTGCCTGAAAGGCAGTGTTCTATCGAAAAGAACACTGGCTTCACTTCCCACGATACTGCAAGGCAGCTATGCTTCCTGACCAATCAGGAGATGGGGCGGCGAGTCATGATGTGCCGCTTGGTATCCTGAGTGGTCAGGAAGCCAGGCTGCCTAGCAACAAGTGAAGCCGGCTTCCTAGCCAATCAAGAAGCCGGGAGGTGGGCCATGACATGCCACCTGGCTTCCTGATTGGCTAGGAAGCTGGCTACACTTGTTGCTAGGCAGCCTGACTTCCTGACCAATCAGGAAGCTGGGGAGCGGGCCATGACGTGCATTAATGTATATTTATAGGCTTGGTTGCAGTAATCAGATATATTTTACATGTTTACCTTAAGTAAATCAATCTTTGAAAAGAAGAATATACATCCCCATTAAGTTTTGATTGTGAATCAAATGTTGTGTTGGAGCACTAATTTGCCAAGTCGAATGATACTAGTAAACATATTGAAATCCAACTCAAAACATTTATTTTTTATTTAAAATTAGGAAAGGTCAAAATGTGTACATTTATTTTTTCCACAGTTTCTCCTCACTTCCTAATGGAGTAGCCAAGTTGTCCCTGAGACAAAAAAGTTAGACAGATACAGACATAAATAAAAGGCTACCGGTGGTTCTAGTCCTGATTCATTGTACCAAGAAAAGTGTTTTTATTGTTCTTTGTCCCGGTTGGATATTTTTTCCCAATTTCTTGTGCTTGTGACAACATTGCCACAGGGACAGGAAGTGAAGCGAAGTCTCCCCAATGGGGCCTTAAAGAAGAACTGCAAGGGTTAAGTGTTCATTTTGTCTAGAGGGCCCAAATAAAGCTGTATTACTCAACTAATTACCACCAACTTCCTCCCCACAGTCTCTTCTCCCCTGGGCTACAACAGTCTAAGGACAACTGATGTCTTCACGTTTTATGCAGGTCCATTGAGCTGCATTAGACGTGAGGATGCAAACGGACATTTCATAGCCAGAGCGGAGGGAGAGGGAGGTGAGCGCTGACTGCTGACCAGGACTGAGGATCAGTAAGTAAAACAGCTTTATTTGAGCCCCCTGGACAAAACAAGCACTTACCCCTTGCAGTGCTGGGGGTAGCCCAACGGCAAGGGTACGTTTTTTCTTTACTCTGAGTTCTTCTTTAAACAGCAGCAAAGGTTTAACCCTTGTCTAAACTATCAAAAATTGTTGGCTTCTGTTTGAAAGCTGAACTTCAGGCACAAAAAATATAAAGTGTGATGCATAGAATGGGTTCTAGCTTACATTTACTGAAGTTTCCCAACACAATGGTTCTTGTTGGAAATAGAAATATCCCATCATTTGAAATTGATTCTTCTAAGGCATTTTCTGTTATGGCTACTAGTCACCTTTAGGGCTTGCATGTGTCCTGGGTGACTAATACCCACCCCACTTCCCAGCTTTCTCTAGGCAGTGCTGACATCAGCACTGCTTTGTTTAGGAGTTTTCCTTTAGTGAAGTACAGCAGGCTTTCTCAGAGTTCAGTTCAAAAGTATATGTATATGTAAGTATATGTAAATGGCTACAATTTTATATAAGCGTTATTATGTTATTATGTTATTATGTCGTTGTTTTCAATCATTTTTAATCTGCAGTTTTCATTAAAAGAACAGAATATGATCCTGCCATAAAGGTTCTTTAGTTTTTGGGGCTCAGCTATCTTCTAGTTTTGCTCATGCACTGACACCCTATCACATGCTCCTCTTTTGAGACTACAATCGGCTGTGCCGACACACACATAACACAGGCATGGTCCACCGTTGTCACTATCTGGAAGCCAGTCAAGAGGAAAGATTTAGGGCTAGCTCACACCAGCCCCAGTGCGTCCTGGCCTGATTGGTGCCGGAACGCACAGGATCGCATTCCGGCCGGCTCACTTTGTTTTGGGGTGGGAAATCGCCCACTCAGGAAAGCGTGGCACATCAGTGCCTGCGTTGTGGTCCAGTGCAGTCAGAAAAAATAGTGCGTGCAGCATTTTTTCTGCCTGCACCGGAATGCAGGCACGGATGTGCCAAGCGTTCCGGTGCGGGCAATCGCACTGCAGTCTGAGGGCGTGGCTGCGGTGCCATTGACTTAAATGCACCGCAGCCATGCCCCCTCCCGCCCCAAAACAAAGTGAGCCAGCCAGAATGCGATCCAGTGCATTCCGGCACCAATCGGGCCGTAACGCACTGGGGTTGGTATAAGCTAGCCCTTGTAGCCAATGCTGAAGCAAGTACATGTAGACAGGAAGGGGCTTAAAAAATCTGAAGGAGATCAGCAACACTGAGATGCAAGGAAGGGTGAAAGCGTGAAAAAAGTTAAAAGCAGTAATTCATGACAAAAAAAATGGTGATTGTTGATGTTACACAATGCTCTGCTACATGGAGGCTGATTTACTAAAGGAGTTGAAAGTCTTCACGTAACTAATTATGTAACTATTCATTTTAGTTATCCATTAATGCAAAACACATCTTTCAATTCAAAGTTAACAGAAATTTTCTTTTCACCTGATTGGATAATGAAAGTGAATAATAACACAATTTTTGGATGATTCTCAACTTCTTCAGTAAATCAGCCTTGCTCTCTATGTAAAGTTACCCCCCTTTCCCCTTCTCAACCACTTAATACTCACCTCTCTAGTATTTCTGGGTGTAGGGGGACATGTAATCCTCTCCCATGATGCCAAGTTTTAGACCTGATAACGGTAACATGGGCAGAAGTATGTAGCTTCATTTCATGGCTCGCTCTGAGCTTCAGAGTAATAAAAGATACGTCACCAGCACACACAGGTTCAGGATGCAAACTTAATCCAATTTATTGCAAATATGTCACGTAGGTCATGCAGCCAATGTTTCGGGTCACACAGGGTCCCTACCTCACGGCGACACAGTGATTTCTCTTTCATAACTCAGGGGATTCACTGCTGTTGTCAAGCATCACCCTATCCAAACTGGTCACAGCATTGTATGGATTGCAGGTGGTCCCTTTATGGCTTTGAGCTTCAATGGCAGCTATCACTGGGTATATTGACAGCAGTAGCTGCAATGGCAGGGGAGCTCTGGACAGGTGAGTAAGAAGTAGTTGGAAGAGGCCACTTTGCATTCACTTTTTCCTGAAAGAGCAAGGTGGCAGTGGCCCTTTTGGTACCCCTATGCACAGACATCATGTGGTATATATTGTATGTGGTATAGACTAAAAATAGCATAGGAATGCTGGTATACTATCAGCAACTACAGAGTGGTGTTACCTTCCTTATCTTACCATTCCTTCCTTTTTCATTCCAGAGTACAAATGCCTCACTGATCAGAGAAAACAGCTGGAAGAAACCCTGCCTCTTATTTTAGGCTTAATCCTGGGACTAGCCATTGTCATCATTCTAGCTGTCTACCACATTCATCATAAGATGACAGCCAATCAAGTGCAAATTCCTCAAGACCGATCTCTGTACAAGCACATGGGATAAGCAAAGACTTCAAGTATAAAATGCAAAGCATACTGACCATCAGGTAGAGAGGCCAAAAGCACTTTGTCTTCCTGTAAATGACATCCATTTCCCTTTTTATCTGTGATCTTCTTTTTGCACTGGAAACAAGTATTGTGCCATAGTATTCCAGTGTAGAACACGTGCCAGCATCAGCGTATAACTTATTTGAATCATGATTTTTAAATGCCTGGTTTCTATGACCTTAAAATGCTTCTAAGTCTTGAATGACACATATTTGCACATATCACCTAAGATCCTCTCGTGTAGAACCTATGCATGTTTAATATTTATAACAAGCTTAACTCTATAAAGAGAACCTATAAATATTGTTAAATAATATAAAGCTTTAGATTCTATTTTCTAAGGACAATTCTAAACACCAAAATTGTCACACAATGTGCTTTTCTACAATACGTATTGAACGCTGACATTAAAGCCAATTGAAACTTTCCTGTTATGACAATTATTTGAGCAAGTAGCTGGGGCATGCTGTATGTTGTATTAGTGTTACAATCACATTGTATAAAATACAAAGCTCTGATTACTATGTATTTCTCTTCTTTTGTAAATATGTGACGTAAAATATGATTGTGTCAGTCAGCTGCAACTGGATTGAATTTGCAGCAGAACTGAATTTGATGCCTAGCTCACCAATAATACATTTAAAGAGAACATCAGGTAGAAATTTTACTAACCCTTGCTATGGGGCTACACCCACACTGCAAGGGTTTACCTGGGGTCCTTTCTGCTGCAGAGGTCTAGGAGTCCACAAGTCTTCAAGTCCAATACAGCGTATTGGATGTGGGGACGCTGAGGGACATTGCAGGAGGAGGAGGAGAAGAGAGGCTGGAGTGAGCTGTGCTGGCTCGTAGGTTTGGATGAGTATAGTTTTTTTTTACCCTAGGCAAAAACAAGCAGTTAACCCTTGCAGTACGGGGGTAGCCCCACTGCAAGGGTTAAAATGTCTTCTTCTTTAAAGCTGAATTTCAGGCAGATATAAAATACAAAAATGAATGCAGCTCTGTCTTTTTTCCCCACATCATTTAATGTATTGTGTTAAATGCCAGCAGTGTAAGTACCTGAAATTGGCTTTGTATGAGCCTCTCGCAGCTGAGCTACGACTGGAGGAAGCAGCGCAAGGAGTAATCAGCCGGGGCATGCTCATAGAAAGGAGAGAGCAGAGTGTCAAAGAGATTAGTTCATCAGTTTGCTGCATCTCCTTTTACTGTCCAGTCACATACCAGGAGAAGGACACCAGTAAGTGTTATTGTACTGCAGCATGTAAATATCAGCTCTGCCCTGCCAGACAGGACTGTGCTTTGTGACAGAGCTGTGGAAACCCAAGGATTGGATGGACCGAAACACAAATCCTTTTGCAAGTAGAATAGATATCATATACAATATGTATTTCACATTTACAGTATATTGAGCTCAGCTTTATAGGAAATCTGTTATTAAAAATATGGAGGCTTCTATTACAGACCTTTTCTTCAAAAAAATCTGGTTGTGTGGCTATCGTGCTTATGTTCTGGCTTTAATACCTTCCGAGTCACTGATCTGAAACAAGTATGTAGATGAGGAGTTCTGACTTCATTTGCTGCAGAATTGTGCTGAATGAGTGGCTCAGAATGTTTTTTAGGCAGAACCAGCCAGACGAATAACATTCCATATATTTTCCAGGACAGGTTTTATTTATTTCCATCACAATATATGCACATGTTATGTTCCAAAGTGACCCGTACAGAAGATAAACAAGTATTAAAGGAGAACTACGGGGTTAGGGCTTTTCCCCATAGTTCTCCTTAGGGTAATGGGAGGACACAAACTAGCGTCCGCCCGTCACCCTAAGCTCAGTATACCGCAAACTAGATTACTGTCAAGATCCACCCAGCTGCGGGATTGACAGCTGGCTCTGCCTATCCAGAGGCAGAGCCAGCTGTGCCCGCCCCCTCACCCGTCCGTTCCGCCAGTCAGCGCTGGAGGATCGGACAGGGGAGGAATCCCTTCAGGGAGCCGTGAGTGACAGTCACGGCTCTCTGCAGGGATAGATCGAGAATTGAGCAAGCGACGCTATGTGTTCGCTCACTTCCCGATCTATTGAGCCGACCTATGACAGTTTCATTGTCACACGTCGGCTCGAACTATGAGGTTAAGTGAAAATCACTCACCTCATAGTTCTCCTTTAAAAGTGTTTCTGAACTCGGCTGTAGATCCTCAAATCATCTCTGTTTTGGTGCCGACACTGTCCTTCCTTCTGGAGGGGGGGGCTACTTTTGTTGCCCATGGTCCCTGTGTTGTAAAGTAGCCAATGCTCCAAGCTCACTCCCATGATGGACTACAATCTCAATACTAATTAAAAGCTAAATGTGAGATTGTAGTACATCATGGGAGTGAGCTTGGAGTGGTGGCTACTTTACAACACACACAGGGACCATGGGGAACAAAAGTAGTCACCCTCCAGAAGGAAGGACAGTGTCAGCACCAATTCAAATATGATTTGAGGCTCTACAGCATATTGATACACAAAAAGGATACATTTGTGTTAATAGTTAAGGTGCTTGAATGTATTGTTAAGATTTACCTCCTGAGTTAAGTGTCACACCCAGCGCAGGCGCACACCAGAAACCCAGCACAGGACAATGGCACCTAAAGACCTCTGAGACTGTTGTCACTGAGACAAGTGTTCCCATGTGAATATTTGTCTTCTACTTCTGACCAAGTGACAACTCAACATTTTAGATGTTCCCATTATTTTTTGTTTCAGTTGTCACCACCACAATGAGAGAGAGTGAGTCTCTCAAGCCTCACAGGGGTTTTACCTTTCTCTACCATATCCAAAATGAAAGAAATGGCTTTAGTAATGCTCCAACTTCCACATAATTGAATGTTATAACATTGAATAACATGACAATAGTCAGCACAGAATATCTGTAAGGCTTTTGGGTCTGTTGTCTGCTGGATGCCTAAATAGACCCTGTGAGGTTTTCAAATAAATAAAACCGGCATCCCCCGCATTAGAGGATATAACATACTCACCTTTCCAGCTGCCAGCCAGGTCTCCTATCACCTCTCCATCCCAGTAATAAACCCTCCATCAGTCTCCTTGGCATTCAACACTCCCAGGAGTGGTGGATGTCTGTGTCCCTCAGCACACCACCATCGGTGCTGTAATGGAGAGGTGGTAGGAGACAGAGGCTACAAGAAAGGTGAGTATACTGCTTTTACTATTGCGGAGGAGCACATTTTGATCCCCATTAATGGTACACAGCTTTTACAGCCAAAAAAGACTTCCTAAACTAACATGCAGAAGACGTAAATAGCCCATTTCCATGGCATATTAAGAGGTGTTGCATTTTAGCTGACATTATCTTTCACCTGGTGTATGCAAAAAAAATAAAATAATGTAAAGGTAAAATATAACAGTTTCCAAAGGCTTGAAGAAACCATTTCTTATGAAGATTTTCTTCTTAAAGCAGAACTATGAGGTGAGTGAAAATCTCATCCTCATAGTTCGAGCACGATGTGTGACAGTGAAACTGTGACACGCTGGCTCAATAGGGAAGTGAGCGAACACATACCGTTGCTCGCTCACTTACTTCTCGATCATCTCCCTGCAGAGAGCTGTCAATGTCAGTCACGGCTCTCTGCAGGGATTCCCCCCTCCCGCTCCGATCCTCCAGCGCTGACTAGAGGAACAGACAGGGAGGGGGTGGGTACAGCTGGCTCTGCCTCTAGATAGGCAGAGCCGGCTGTCACTCACGCAGCTGGGTGGATCTCGACAGTAATGTCGGGATCCGTCCCTGCTGCGGCGGTCTTCGTATAACCGCGAGCTGTAGTTCGCGATATACTGAGCTTTGGGTCATGGCAAGGCGCTAGTATAAGTCCTCCCATGACCCTAAAGAGAACTATGGGGAAAACACTTACCCCATAGTTCTCTTTTAATGTATCCATTGATCATGCCTTGCAGACAGTAGTAAGCTCCATGGTTGAAGATCTGGGAACCTTACAATTGAAGGTGGATTCTGGATTCCAGGTTTTTAAAGAGAAGAGGAAGTAATCTGGGATATACAACTTTAGCAGATCCTTCATATACAGTGGTACCTTTTTCACGAACCCTTCTGTTCGCGAACAATTCCCCCACACTATAATGTATTGCTGGGACTTGTAGTCCTACATAGTTGGAGCTATTCTGCATTACTGTATAATCATCATACATCAATGCAGAATACCACAAGTCCCAGCAATACATTATAATAAAAGTCAGTTATGCAGAATACCAATACACTAGCAAGGGGGGCCCTCTTCTTCCTCGCTGGGCCCCCCCAAGTGGCGGAACGCCAGGGCCCGGTTGCAATTGCGACCGCTGCGACCCTGGTAGTTCCGCCAGTGCTGGCAAGTATAATACGTGTCTTTATTGCTGATCCAAGTAGGGAGATTCACTCTCTCACTTTGTCCTGATGACCACTGTCTCTGGAACTGAAACAACAGAAGCATCCAAAAATTTGATTTGTCACCAGAACAGGATTAGAGGGGGATTCTTCCTACAAGGTCGCTTGGTCCAGGGACAGCTGTCCAAGAGGGGATTTCCCTCATTTTGGAGAAATCTCCTCTGTTTTCCTGTTGTGGCTACAGGACAGGAAGTGAAGGGAAGTCTTCCCAGTGGGACACATTTCCTGACCGAGGTTTCCTGAAACATGTTATCGAAACTTCTGGGAGAAAAAGATGGCAATCTGGGAGAACAGCTGACTCTATGCAATCATGAACAGAGCACAAACACTTTTTTGCTTGGTTTGAGGTTTCTTTATATTTTAGCTAATTGTGTTCCAAGTGGTTGCACCCATAGTGAAACATACTGCAACCTAATAAAAGGGCACAGCTAAGCCATTAACCACCACTGAATTTTAATGCAAAATTATTATTAAGGCATAAATATCACTTAGAACTACTAGCATCATTCAATAGCCAGTAGCATAATAATAACAAAATAATAATAATAATACACCAAGCACATGTGGAGTCTTCAGAGAATGTTTTTTTTTTTCTTTCCCCTCCCCCACTTATAGCCACATTTCTACAAAGCAGTTGCTTCAAAAATTTCAGTTCCAACATAGACATAAGTAAAACATAAAAATGTAGATCCATTGCTTTACTCACCTGATGCTTTAAGAGGAGGTGGTGGGGGGAGATTGCTTCTTTAGGGCTGCTTCTTTAGGGCAAAGTGGTGGCAGGGCCCCACAAAGCAGGGACAAGGAACATTTCCATTTCTTTGGCCAAAGTACCAGACCAATCCAGTCATAACACACAAAGGCAATTATTGACTTACAAAGCCTGCATCATCTTCCTGCCAGGCACACAGTAGTCAGTATTCTGCCAGCATGTGCCCTCTTCCTTTTCCTCCACTAATATCACCATACCCCTGCAAACTGCCCACAAGGAGTCAGCAGAAAGATTTGAACACTCTGTTCTGGCTTGCTGCAGGAAAAGTCATAAGCAGGGAGTGCTCTAAAGGTAAACTGGCAGTGACAAAGGGAGTAAAGAGAATAAGCTGGGCAC